CTCAGTGCGCGTCCTATTCGCTGGTTATTGATTTTACGCGCGTGTGCCAAAATAGAAGAAACTGGAGTGACGTACCTGTAAATGAACTCCAAGAATGGGTACACCAAATAGCAACAGTTCATTGATGGTGTTGATTCCGCCATGACAAATCAGATATTGCAGATTGGGATGAGCTAGAAGCAATGCTATTCAGTGAAAAATTGATCTTTCAGTCTGTAGAGTGCACGGACCTAATAGATGTTTCACTGGTACCCAGCTGCTGAGCGCGACATTTTCAGGTACAGTAATATTCCTTGCCCAAAGAAGCGATTCAAATGCAGAGTTTGTCTGCCAGATTACGGTGAAAGGTGACTGAGAAAAAGCTTCGAGTAGTTTTTCCACGAGTTTCATTGGCATGTAGTGAGCCTAAAACTCATATGGGTTAATTATTAGTGTATTGACTCATCAATTCACGAATTTCACAACAAATTGATGTGGTGCGGGCGAGTAGCGTGGCTCACGCCAAACTCCGAACCCTTACGCACCCTCCCCGGCCGAGTAAACAATGCCTAGCGGATAGCGCACTTGTCTCAAAGGCGTGAGGTTCGAGCTCTAGTCCCTGGGTTCTTGTGACAGAGCAGTGGTTTTAAGCTCTGCTAAGACAAGCATGGAACGCAGGCCAATATTATTTCCTTCACGATGCTGACCTCGGTTGACTGGTACTAGACTGGACTGCACACATGCTCTTCCCCATGTTTTCGTAGAGATCTCAGTGGATGTATTCAAAAACTGCTACGATAATGAAAAGTGAAGTGGTGTTAAGAGAAAGAATGATGCTCAGTGACGCCTTTCCCAACTTTTCCCAAACTCGTCATCCAAGTATACTCGAAATCCCTGAGATCGGGTAGGCGTGGCTGCATGCTTCAACTTAACCTGAAGGTGTCTATGCTTCTGGTGAGATATTTTCATCTTGACACAATTGTTGGTGTCTCTGGACAAGATGGCAAGTTGGCCCAGACTAGAAATATTCACGAGTAACCAGTTCGTGCCATGTTGAAGTATGCGCGCTGACTCCGGCTCAGGACAAGGGAATGTACCCCAACCACGCTCATTGCAGTTGGGATCCCAGCGACGGATTCATGTTCAGGAGCTGGAGGGAGGAGAGATGAGAAAAGGGTGGTTTCTGACTTCGAAGAAATGTTCTTCGCGTTGTTGCTTTTCGAAGGAGAAATTCTGGAATCAGAGGAAAAAGGTATAGGACTGGGTTTGGGGTGATTTAGGAAAGGACTTACCAAAGAATGGTCATTTTTTTTCAGGAATTTCCCCAACAGCAGGACGTGTCCTGTTCGCAGGTAAGGTCACGTGTATATAAGGGGGCTCAAAAAAAGTACGCCTTTTCGTTCTTGACATTCAAGGTCGCTATAAGTTGCCTTTTATCAAGTTCTGATAGGACATTTCCACCACCATATTCAACAGCATATTGTGTACTATCATGATTATCCGCCACAGCCTTCTGGACGGCACCCAAATCCCGTAGCAGTACGAAGTTTCCAAGATGGTGCAGGCGATAACATGAGGGCAGGCTATTCTACACGAGTCGTCGACGTCAAGCATCTCACTCTCGATCCGGATCACGAAGAAAATATCGGCTCTTCCATAGAGGAACCTCCGAGTCCATTATCGCGCCTTCGGCGACTGCGGTGAAGATTGATTAATCCTGGACCATAGCGAAGTTGTCGGAGCTGCTCGATGTTGCAGGTCTCCCTCCAACACTACATTAAGAACACTGGTCTCCAGGTAGCTATCCATGGGTGACTCATACAAGAAGTTTCGCAGCTGTTTGGAGGTGACGTGAATTCCAATAGGCCTTCTCCAGTCAGGCTGCGACTGGAGATGACTTCATATTTTGGTGTACATGAAGGTGATGGCGAGAGCCTGCTCCTGCTACAAGCAAAAGCTTAGTTCTTCCGCCCTGACCTTGGTACTCGTATCACGTCTTCTGTCTGGGCTCTGAAAACTGCTGATTACGTGACTCAGCCGAGTTCTTTTTGTCCCCCCCCTGCAAGCTGCAAATCAATCAGCCTACTTACAAGGGAATGGTTTGAACTTCCCATGGAACTTTGAATGGAGACCTAGGTACATCGATAGAGCCTCGAATGCTGATTACGAATATGCAGATTAAAAGTGCTACGGGGACCTCCCAGACGAGATCTGGGTGGTCAAAGTTTGAGTTCTGGCTCGTAAGCGCTGCTGATCGATGCGTCAGCAGTGCCACGTGGCCTCGTTGGTAATGAGTGCTTTCAAGTCAAACGATGCGGGTTTGCATCCGGTTGGCGCGGAAATTTTTGCTTCGCTCCGTATAAGATCTTCAACTCTAATTTTCGAAATCCGAATTTACGGCCCAGCAGGGCAAGTAGATCGAGTACATCAAGTATACGACATACTCGATCTAGTATGGATTTGGTCATATCTGCCTTCTCTGAACATATTACCCATCCGACAATTCAAAGTTTTAGGGAGAAATTTGTTCATGGGAGATTTCGACCCCCTGAACACGAATATCACTTCCTTCGACGAGAAACGCTCGTCTGGCCAAATTGCGATTCTGGGCAAAACTTTGAATTGTCGGATGGGTAATATGTTCAGAGAAGGCAGATATGACCAAATCCATACTAGATTGAGTACGTCGTATACTTGATGTACTTGATCTACTTGCCCTGCTGGGCCGTAAATTCGGAAGAATTTTGAAAATTAGAGTTGAAATATTATACGGAGGCGCAAAGCAAATTTTCGCGCCAACCGGATGCAAACCCACATCGTTTGACTTGAAAGCGAGACCACTACCACGAGGCCACGTGGCACTGCCGACGCATCGATCAGCAGCGCTTACGAGCTAGAACTCAAACTTTGACCACCCAGATCTCGTCTGGGAGGTCCCCGTAGCACTTTTAATCTGCATATTCGTAATCAGCATTCGAGGCTCTATCGATGTACCTAGGTCTCCATTCAAAGTTCCATGGGAAGTTCAAACCATTCCCTTGTAGAGCAAAGTGGCAGTCAAGTGCACCATGTGGTAGCAAACGAACCAATCAATTCAAAACTGTGGACTGAGACCAGAAGATCTGAGTTGCGGCTAGGCGCAGAAACTAGGGTACAGCGTTGCGGGATGGATCAGATCTCGCCCCCGACTGTGCTGCTCTCAGCGACGCACTTACAGCACTATCACTGAAGTAAACGGGGCGTGCGAGCGGGCCATGGGATTCGGCACTTAGCGCTTAGCCCCTTTCCCACCAGTCAATGGACGCCAATGGAATACAGGCTGGCGCCAAAATCCACCCTGCCGATCCGCCCCGATTGACTTCAGTGATTACGACTGTACCAACCGCTTTGCCGCTACCCGAATCCCCTGTAGCTGCACATGAACTGATAACTTATCTTACCTGTGCAACACTTCCGAAGCTCACCAGAATGAACGGCTTTGTCGAGAGCGATGGCCAGTTCAATTGCGGGAATTCTTTCGAAATAGAACTGAATCGTTTCATCACTTCATCACGCAGGCAAACCTTCTGGCTAAACGTCAGAGATCTTCTGCTTGCTGCGGATCGAAACAGCCGCTGATTTTGACGAACAGACACAATTAATGAAGGAGAGCGGTACTGTCGAGTTGTTCCTTCTAGAAACCTCCAGCGAGCTGTTCATATAACGGAAATTGGTAGTGGGAGCTTTGCAAATGACGGAGCTTGCTTTCAGAAGGCTGTCCTCAGGTAAAACTGTCACGTAGTCCCTCGGATTTCTGAAAAAATATATTTTTTTTGCAGGCAGTGTGGAAATACGCCCGCGTAAAATCAATAGTCATCTTATAGCACATCCGTTTGCAGGCAGAAACTCTCACATTTTACTGCCACCACCAAAATGTTTCACGCGATTATTGATTGGTCGAATGACATCGAAAAGAAATTCCGATCTACCGGCGTAGATCAATCGTTCAGCTTCAGACTGAATAATGCCAACCTGCAACCAAGCGGTACCAATAAGTTCTCATTGGTAATGTCGGTAGATGGCTACTTACTTGAGGAAAGCCTTTTCTTGTAAACATACTATCCAAAACATAAATTTGGATATATCTCGTTATAATAATGATCCAGTGAAAGAGAGTGTTGATAATGCGTTCACCGAATGACATCCCATGGCCACTATATGGCGTACCTGAAGAGGAAATTTCTAGGCCAATTTTAGCCTCAGCTTTCACACCAGGAATAATCGCTGCTACCGCGCCAAGCCACATGGACGTGCACGTCGCGAGCGTTGTGGCGGCCGGCTCTTCGGCGCACCGGTCACGGTAGCGGCGGTTCATCCGGTTGGGTAACTTATCTTCTACCAAAGACAGTTGACTCACCTGTTTTGGGGGTGGCGCTTGGGTTTGCTGGTACATTAAGAGATGTGATGTATCCGTCAGCAACAGGCCAGTTAGAATACTGTACTACAGACGAATTCAAAAGGAACGACAAACCACCCATGCACTCCTGAAATGTTCAAACTGTCTTAAATTCATCAGGTTAAAAGTAAGAAAACAGTCTGAAAACACAGTTTCTGCGCTCGTCTGCATTTTCTCGATAAGCGGTTTCTGGGGGCATGCTTCTCGGCTACTGTGTGGGCGGAGTCATATGATCACATAATTTCTATGGGAAACGGTACGGTTGGGAAAAACCCTATCAGAGGGTCATAAAAGTCGTAAAAGAAGGGGGTTCGTATTTCGTTGATGGGGTTGTATCTGGTCTTAGCAGAACTTTGTCTGAGCTGCTAGAAAGTTTTTCGGTTGTTGACTTATCGGGATTTCTTCGGCTTCATTAATGGTGTATGCAACTTATCCCCCCCCCCTCCTTATAGCAATACAAATTCTATGCATTGCGATAGTTGAAACTAGAGAGCTGCATGGTGACACCCCCCCACGTCTCCACCGCCTGCGCTCAACGGACATCATCGCAGCAGAAGATGGAAAATTTCGAGGAAAATTGGAAATTGGTTAGAGATTTATGAAAGCTCAGGAAGATGAGAGGTGGAGTGGGGGGGGGGGGAGAGGAGGGGTGGGAGGAGATCGTAACAGAGGAAGGAAGTTCTGGGGAGTCGTCTGACAGCATCATTTCTCCCATCCCGATGCCGTACCCTGATGTCAGAAGGGAGCTACACAGTTAAGCTGTGGTTGTCAAACTGCCTGAGCCAACAGGATCAGCATAGTCTTTGAATCGGCCAACACCCCCATGATATTTGGATCTTTTCGGTATTTTTGAAGCGCTGAGTTACTTTACCTGCCAGAAATATCCAACAAAACGACATCAGGTGCTGTTCTCGCAGAAGTACTTCAAAAAGCGCTGATCGCGCCAGCATTCTCACAGTGGCGTCTGTTCGGATAAGCAGTGCTGAACAACGATTGGGATCCGTTGTTGCTGTTTGGGACAAATACTGCAGTCTTACTTGTAAAAAATGAAAGTGCCTCGTAGATCCCACAGTCGATCGAAATCCGTTGGCACATTCTGCTCCCATACAAGGCTGCCTGCTCTGTGCATAAGTTTCGTGCCTGGAACAGGGGCAATTGACAGAGAAGCCTCCTGGCCACTTGAATGCTGGGGAGAATTATTTAGATTCGAGCTGTCACGTGCACAGGCGTACAGTTGTACCAGGACCAGATTCGTTTAGCGCAAAAAACGACAGTAATTCTAGTCACTTAGTCAATCTTGTGCGCCACGGATGCTGGGGCGTATTGTAAGGGCTGGGTTCGGCACAGCGCCAGATCGTTCTCCACCAACTAGTGGAGCAGAGCAAAAGACAGTCGATGTCCCCCCCCCCCCTGACACGACCCATCGTCCGGACTATGGGAAATGTCGCGGGCCAGGTCACTTTTCACGCGTTGTGGGTTTTCTAGGGTCTCTCAGAGCCACCCCCTGCCTGAATTTAAAGAATCTTCTAAGATTCTTCCCCAGCACTCTGTCAACTCATCTCTACCTCCTCTGTTCCTGACACTTCCTCGCGTGCCGTCTGCGTTCTGTCTCGTCCCTCTCCTTCCATATCCAGTTGTGTCAGGATTTTACGATTCATTGCACCGACGCGCTCCTGCTCTTCCATACAACTTCCCTTTCTTACGTCCTAAGCGCCTCGCTCCGTTTTTATATGACACCTCGTGTTTTGTTTCACAGCGCACCACTATCTACGTTGCTGCGTTCCCGATCTGTCAGTTAATGGTAGCTTTGCTGCAATCCCTCCCTTTCAGCCGAGTATGAGAACCGTGAGTATATCTAAAGCTCAGATCAGCAGAAGAATACCTCTGGAAATCTCGGTTCAAATCGAATTCACAACACAGCTCAGGAGAATGGACGACTCAACCCACCCCCTGCTTTGAATACCTCACCGTCCCACTATCATATAAAATTTGCAAGCGTTCTCAACAGCTGTTTGACATCGCCGTGTTAGCTACAAGGTCGTTCAATTCCCACATTCACTGCAAGGCCAGCTGTCTGCCCATATGAAGTGTGGGTTTCTTTTCAGTTTTCTCTTCTCCCCCACCTCCGGAGGCAATAGGCCTTTTATCTGCTAGTTTAAATTTCAGAAAGATATTCCATGGTGACAAAACAAGGATAATCGTTTTCGAAAACGACAACTAGTAAGTGCCCAAATCACGAAAAAGTAGCAGCAGCTGTTCAGCAGTTCTTCCATAATTGACACTGACCAGTGTGCTAGCAAAAAACACTGTGAGCATGGACGAGAGCCCAGAGAAGCAAAGGCGGGAGAGCAACGTGCGAGGCAATAGCTAACCCCCAGTCGCTTTTAGACAGGGATTACGCTGGCTAGCTTGAGCCCTTGCCCTCGTGGGTTGAGCAGCGAAATGACGGAGTAATACCCTCAGGGCATCCAAAGTCAAACTGGACATTCACCTTCATGGGTCATAGTCCTTGAAGTGAAGTAAAGGGTCCGTAACTAGGATAACGTTCTACTCACTCTGCTCGCATGTGCACGGAATGGAGGGCAGTGATACACGGATGCCGTTTACGGACTCCCCCCGCGTTATCCTCAAGGTGTTGCGCTCACGTCGATACCAATATCCCGCAGGGAGCACGCAGTCAA